CCAAAAAACTAAACAACACCAGTGAGAGAAACAAAGTTTGGCCCTGAAATCAGCCACCTCTGTCCCTGATCAACTAAACTAACCAATCTCTGAGCAGGGAAATCTGACCAATTCCTCTTCTCCCTGGGAAAACCCGCCCCTAAGAAGCCCTATATAAGCCCTGCACCTGTCAGTTTGCGGCTGCTCTTCTTCCACCTGGTAGAGGCAGCCAATCTCCTGGTTCTTCCCTCCCAAGAAATCTCTTGAATGAGGTTAGGGTGAAGACCTTCTTTTGCTGGAGCAGAGACAGAGCAGACTTGTTACAACTGCACTGGGGAAGCAGAGACGGAAGAGCAAGCAGAGTGTAGCCTGGCTGTAACACTATCTCTGGGGAAACCTCCTAGCCTAGCAGAGTTGTTACACTGGAGGGCACTGGAGCCAAACTGTAACAACTTCCCTGGGGAAGCCCTCTCCTGCCTGAGCAGTGCTGTCACTTTGGGGAAACCTTCCCTATAGCTGCTATGCTGTACCTATGCTATTCCTGGCTCCCAGTGGCCGGAATACTCTTCCATCCGAGCTGTAACGCTCAATATTCCCTGGCCCTCAACTGCCAGGATCCCTTTCCTTACGAGCCACAATGCTTACAGTTCTATCATTCCACCTGTTAGATTTTGGGGTGCAGAGTAAAGAGACAGAAGGTAGAAAGAGGGGCTGGAGAGGTGGCTCAGAGGTTAAGAGTACTGGCTGTTAATATTTATTATTTAATATTTATTATTTATTATAAATAATAAATCTTTTTTTAAAAAGGTAGAAAGAGACCAGAGTTTGACCTCAAGAGAAAGAACTGTTATTTCATTTTTTTTAAATTTTATTTATTTATTTATTATGTATACAACATTCTGCCTCCATGTGTGCCCGCATGCCAGAAGAGGGCACCAGATCTCATTACAGATGGTTGTGAGCCATCATGTGGTTGCTGGGAATTGAACTCAGGACCTCTGGTAGAGCAGCCAATGCTCTTAACCATTGAGCCATCCCTCCAGCCCAGAACTGTTATTTCAAACATCAAAGAACAGACACTCTCCCATGGGAAAGAAGTTCTGCCAAAGGAGGTTAGCTGGAGATCATAATGGAGGCAAGTGAAAGGCTTGAGAATGGGGAAGTTAATACAGCTTCAGGGAAGTCTACAGTCTCTCCATCCTGGAGTTGTTTGTCCACACAAAGCCATTTTATCTTTAGAAACTACCTTGCCCAGCTGTCAGGAAGCAGGTAATAGCGGGGGACTCAGCCAGGCAATGGCAGTGAACGGGAAGAGGCTGCAGTGTCAACACAGCGGCACCGGATTTCAGCAAGCCTTAGTTCATTGGTCAGAATCTTGCAGAGTTTGTTCAAAGTTTATTCTGACCTCACCCCAGCTTCATGTGGGTTCAGGGGTTTCAACTCAGGTCATCAGTTTTGTGCAGCAGGTAAATCTTTATCTGCCGAGCAATCTCATCTAGCTAAATATTTCTGATTTTCTTTGGTTCAGAAGTCTGATATAGGTATCTGTTGAGGAATATTATTTTAAGGTGTGTTACTTTTATTTATTCTTTGGAACATTTGTTTAATGATATAAGCATGTGTTGCTTTTGTCTATGCTGCATTTGTTTAACTCTGTGAAGCTGTGTTTTTTTTTTCTTTTTTTTTTTTTTGGTTTTTCGAGACAGGGTTTCTCTGTGGTTTTGGTTCCTATCCTGGAACTAGCTCTTGTAGACCAGGCTGGTCTCGAACTCACAGAGATCCGCCTGCCTCTGCCTCCCAAGTGCTAGGATTAAAGGCGTGCGCCACCACCGCCCGGCGAAGCTGTGATTTTTATTGCTTGTTTAAAACCCCTGATGGTCTAATGAAGAACTAAATGGCCAATAGCAAGGCAGGAGCAAGGATGGGCGGGGCTGGCAGACAGAGTATAAATAGGAGGAGAACTAAGGAAGAGGTACAACAAGAAGGAATGGGGGGTGTTAGGGGTCAGCCACCCAGCCAGCCAAGGAGTAAGAGTGAAAGTAACATTACACAGAAATAAGAGAAGGAAAAAACCCAGAGGCAAAAGGTAGTCAGGACAATGCAAGTTTAGAAAAGTTGGTAAGAAATTAGCCAAGCTAAGACCAGGCGTTTATAAGAAAGAATAAGATTCTGTGTGTGATTTATTTGGGATCTGGGTGCTGGGCCCCCCAAAGAACAAAGAGCAAAGACCCCAAAAGAGTAAACAGCAAAACAGTAAAATAGACATCAACAGGTGTCACTAGGCCAAAATAAAAGTATCAACAGTCTTTTGGGTCTGGTGATCTTGGTCTGTGATCCTCATACTAGGGAATTGGAGGCAAGAAAATTGAGGGGAATCAAAGGATTGAGACTGGTTTGCACAACACCACATCACCGAATCCCGTATGGCTTAGTCCCAGAAACCTGACTGGGGCAGTGAAGGGATGAAGAAAGAGTAGACACACAAACACACATACTGGGCTTGCTCAAAGCCTACCCTCCCTACCCAATCCTCAAACCTCAGAGAGTTTATCGTGTACAGCAGAGGGACAGGAGTTAGCGAGTCTCGGGAGGAGGTGTCTGTGGGTGAACAGTCTCAGGCTACATCTGGTAGGTGGAGCTGCAGCTGCTAGTTTGTGCTCACATTGATCAATTGTTCTCAAACATCCATACTTGCACATACTGTCAGCACCTCCCCTTGGACTAGAGGAAGACTTTGCCATCTCCCTGAGCCTCACCCCAGGACTGAGCAAGCTTTGCCAACTTCCCATGGGTCTGGGGCATTGGTCCTTGAGATGGCCGTGACCATACTAACAATACACATTCACTTAGGGCTTCATTCAGTCCTTACACATGTATTCACAGCCTCCTTGGCTCCCCTGAGCACAGTATCAATTGATTAATTAGTTAATTCTGGCCAGATGTAGATATCTGTAGACCCAGCACTCAGGAAGCTGAGGTAGGACTATTGGGAAAGTTTTATGTCAGCCAGAGCTGTATGGTGAGACTGTTCTAGAAACTCTAGGGAGGATCTGTTTCTTTCTGTTTCTTTGCCCTTCCCTGTTTCTCAATGCCACTGACAGTCACTACTAGCTCAGGACTCCCTCGGTTTCTCCTCTGGTTACTTCCCTGTGACTCTTTCCTGTGAGCTTTCATGTTTTAATTGGACCCGCATAATGATCCAGGGTAGTAGCTCTGGCTTATTTGTTTATGGGTTTTAGAGGCAGAGACTCGTGTAGTTTATGTTGGGGTTATCCTTGAATTCTTGATCTGCCTGCTTCCACGTCCCGGGTTTACCATCATGCCTAGCTTGTCCTGTATGCATTTATTTATTTTGGCTTGTTTGTCTGCAGGTCATAACTGGAAATGAGACCTTGAGAAGGAAAGGAAAAGATCTTAGCTGGCACAGAAATGCATCCCTTTAATCCCAGGACTCTGGAGGCAGAGGCAGGTTGATGTCTGCGAGTTCTAGGCCAGGCTGATCTATGTAGAGAGTTCTAGAACAGGCAGTGCTACATAGACCCCGTCTACAGAAATAAAAGGAAGAGATCTTAAATAAGTGAGACGGGAATTAAAGAAACAGAATACATATAATAGGAAAGCAGAAAAGGGGATAACTGGGGGAAGAAGGGAACTATCTGGGAGGCATGAGGGGGAAGAGGAGAATTAATGGGGGGATAAATAGATGAACTATAAGTCCATATGTACAGAGATGCCTAGATAAAACCCATTACTCTGTATGCTAATCCTAAAACAATAGTAAAAATCTATAGCAAGAAAATAAAATGAATACTTTTTTGTTTTTTGAAACAGGTATTCTCTGTGTAATAGCCCTGACTGTCCTGACTTTTTGTTTTTCAGACCAGGCTGGCCTCAACACTAATAAAATAAAAGATCAGGGTGCCCCCTTTAATTCTATGCATCATTAATTCCCTTTTGCCATACAGCCTAACGCAGTCACAAGTTCTAAGCATCTTTGGAAACCGATGCTGTGCCTACCACATTCTCTGACATAAAAGTAGTAGATTTGAGAACAAGCGGTCAAGGAGGAAGGCATCTATCAAGGAATAAGATTATTGAGAGCAGCAATTAATACCACTTGGAGGTCAAACCATAAGTCTCTAGAAGTAACCATTGGGCTTAACGTCTTGCCATACTTGCAGTAGGAGTCAGGGGAACGTTCAGGGGCAGCTCATTTATTATGTGAGTAGCAAGAAAGAAGTTAAAGAAGACTGGGAATGTAAAATCTTCCCTAAACTTCACTGTGAAGGGATTAGATTAAGGACAGGAGGGGAGAGAGGTAGAGGGGGCTAGTGCGGGAACTCGACGCAAATGGGAAGGATGACGAGGTGGACAATATAGAAGGGTCCTCGATAGCCGGGATATCTGTAAAGGGGAAATAATATCAGAGGGATTGTTGGATTGATTCAGGCTCAAGTTTTGCCAAGAAGGCTGGTACCACATCAGTGCCAAGGTCTAGGAAACGGCCAGCAGTATGGCCAAGATAACGGAATGTATTGTGAGATGAAGGGCGCGCTCCGCCAACAAGAGGCGCTGGTGAGGCGCGAGGGATGGCTGGCGGCGACCTGGAAGCTCGGCTTATAGCCGAATGGCAGCTGAAATAATTTCAGGGGAAATACTTCCTGAAACGCATCACAGTTTTCGCTGCGTTCCATTTGTCCGTTAATCTCTAGACATGCTAAATGCATAAAACAGGACTTGGCATAGAGAACGTGCTGAGCACCGTCACGTTAATAGCAGCTTCACAACTCCAGAGACTCCATTTTCCTTGAGCTCTTTCAGTCTCTCCGACTACGATTCCCATCATGCCTGGCAGCAGCCGTACCAATGATTCCTCACGTCCCTTAAACCTGTTTACCAGCCCAGCATCCCTAGCTGCCTTGCCTAAGAACGATCAATTGGATAGGAGGATGCCCGCCGAGGCCGGCCAACCTTCGGGCCTGAGGGGCGTGGCCCCTCCAGGCCCCGCCCCCGCCCCGTGGCGGGCTCTTCCCTCCTGCTCTTGGTGGTCTGTACTGTCGACGACATGGGCACCACCTGGAGGAACCCGGGACGCGTGCGGTTCGCGCTCTGCCTCGCCGGCTTCGCGCTCTCACTGTACGCGCTGCACGTGAAGGCGGCGCGCGCACGCGACGAGGACTACCGCGCGCTCTGCGACGTGGGGACCTCCATCAGCTGTTCACGCGTCTTCTCCTCTCGGTGCGTGCAGAAATGGAAAGCATGGGGTCCCTGAAGTCCAGGTGTACCTGACGGCCAGGTTGCCGGATGATTTTGCAGTCTGGGATCGCAGGGTCCGCAGAACCGACACTTTGAGAGTGCTGCCCCAAGAGTTTCAGACGTGCACAGGGCCTGGACCATTCAGAGATACGGGGATTTGAAGGCTGAGGATGCCAGCGAACTGTGATTGGAAAACTGGAGGAGGCAGGGCAGAATGATACACAGAGATTGAGGATGATGCGGAATGGCAGGAGGTGGTGTCATTGCTCTGCTCAGGGACAAAGGTGGCTCACTCTGGTTGTGCTGGAGGACCGGATGTTGGTGGCGAGGCAACAAATAGATTTGTGCTCCAGATTTCTCTGAGTGGTCACCATAAAGCGCGAACAGGCCAAAAAAAATAAAAACATTTTTTTCCCCATTTATTTGTCTGTGGGGTTGCATGTGCATGCCACTACATGCACGTGGAAATCGGAGGTGGTTCCCTCCCACTTCGTGGGTCTGGAGGAGTCTGCCCAGTTGACAGGCTTGGAAGTAAGCACTTTTATTAGCTGAGCCATCTCACTAGCTCCTGAAGTTACTAATGGCTTATGATGACAGACCAGGATAGAGTCAGTGACACACCAGAGGGTCACTGACCTTTGGATTCCTGGTGGGTGGAGAGTCTTGCTAATCGCTTTTTTTCCAAGGAGGCACTAGGTTGACCACACTTCCCTGGGTTTTTTCCCTCCCGCCTCCCGCCAGGTGGGGCCGTGGCTTTGGGCTGGTGGAGCGTGTGCTAGGAGCCGACAGCGTCCTCAACCAATCCAACAGCATATTTGGTTGCATGTTTTACACCACACAACTGTTGTTAGGTGAGTGGCTTTGTCCCTTCCTGACCTATCTTCCTAAGCCAGATCAGCACCACCCCAAATCTTAGTGACCCAGACAGTTGACAGCTAATCACTGAACAACATCACAAGGGGACAAGAAAGGAAGACACTAGCCGGGTCACCATAGTTTAGATAGCCAGAGGCTGTAGGGCTCTCAAAGATTTCCTATCATATCAATTCCTTTTCCTTCTTCCTCCCCCCACCCCCAAGACAGGGTTTCTCTGCATAGCCAAGGCTGGAACTCACTCTACCTGAGGCTGGCCTCAAACTCAGAACTGCCTGCCTCTGCCTCCCAAGTGCTGGGATTAAAGGCATTTACCAACACCTGGTGGGTTTTTGAGAGGTTTCTTGGTATAATTTTGGTGCCTTTCCTGGAATTCGCTCTGTTCTAGGCATACACAGCCACCGCCTGCCTGGCCAGTTTTTAATTTTCTTTCTTTCTTTTTTTTTTTTTTTTTGAGACAGGGTTTCTCTGTAGCTTTGGTGCCTGTCCCAGAACTAGCTCTTGTAGACCAGGCTGGCCTCGAACTCCCAGAGATCCGCCTGCCTCTGCCTCCCGAGTGCTGAGATTAAAGGCGTGCGCCACCACTGCCTGACTTTTAATTTTCTTAAGACAGAGATCTCTCTTGGCTCTGGAGAGATGGCTCAGAGGTTAAGAGCACTGGCTGCTCTTCCAGACGTCCTGAGTTTAATTCCCAGCAACCACATGGTGGCTCACAACCATCTATACTGGGATCTGATTTTCTGTTCTAGCATGTAGACATAGCGGCAGACAAAGCACTCATATATTAAAAAGTAATAAAAATAATAAATAACTTTTGTCAGGTGGTAGTGGTGCACGCACTTGTGAGGCATAGGCAGGCAGATCTCTGTGAGTTCGAGGCCAGCCTGGTCTATAGAGCTGGTTCCAGGACAGCTAGGGCGGTTACACAGAGAAACTGTCTCGAAGCCTCCCCCCTCCCCCTCCCCCCAAAAAAAGACAGGAACTTTCTATGTAGCCCTGGTTACTCTGGAATTCATTATGTAGACCAGGTTGGCCTGGAACTTGCAGAGATCCTCCTGCCTCTGTCTTCCAAGTGTTAGGACCAACTTGTTTTGAGACAAGGTCTCATGCATTCTAGGTTGACTTTGAACTCTTTTTTTTTTTTTTTGGTTTTTCGAGACAGGGTTTCTCTGTGGCTTTGGAGCCTGTCCTGGAACTAGCTCTGTAGACCAGGCTGGTCTCGAACTCATAGAGATTCGCCTGCCTCTGCCTCCCGAGTGCTGGGATTAAAGGTGTGCGCCACCACCTCCTGGCTCAGCTTATAAACTCTTTTTGAGGCGACTCCAAAGGTGATTCGTGTTTCATCTCAGACAGAGTTTAGCAGGAGAATTTATTGTTGGGTCCTAAGGGTTAGTGAACACATAAGGCCCACTGGATCCTGTCTTAGAGAACTTTCAGCAGATGCAGCTGCTCTCTGACACTGGGGAGGAATGGCAGAGTTCTAGATGTGCCTTTAATGATCCTCTCTTGTTTTGCAGGTTGCTTGAGGGGACGTTGGGCTTCCGTCCTCCTGGTACTGAGTTCCCTGGTGTCCCTCGCTGGTTCTGTCTACCTGGCCTGGATTCTGTTCTTTGTGCTCCACGATTTCTGCATCGTTTGCATCACCACCTATGCTATCAATGTGGGTTTGATGTTGCTTAGCTTCCAGGAGGCGCCAGAACACAAGGCCAAAAAGCACTGAGATCCCACCTCGTGCCAGCCTAACGTAACCTGCTTTGCCTTGGCACATGAACCTTGCTCAAGAGGGTCATGTGTGGGTCCGTAGAAGGCCCTACTCCTTACATTCCAGTCCCCTCCATAACCACACATAGGACAATGACCAGACGTGCCTCTAAGTTCTCTTCTCAAGGACTGCTTCCTGCTCTTGGCTAAAGAGAATGGTTTTGAACAATAAATTTTCCTAAGTTGGTCAAGTCTGAAGCATCCGTCTGCCAGGGATCCTTTGGGGTGTTGGTCTTTCCTTATTGCCTTCTCTGGAACTGGGATGAGTCAGAGTGTGATGGAGGGCCTGTCTGGGACGGGTGGCTGCATCATCTCTAGCATGCTTATGTCAGCAAAATCTGGCACATCAGCCCCCACGTCCAGGAAACAAGTTTGCATCCAGGAAACAAGCTTGCGTTGGCTGCCTAGGGCTCAGACTCCTGTCGTAGGAGGGGCTGCCACACACCTGGAGGCCGAGCTTGCTTGGAATTTCTTCTGTAGTCCAACTTGAACCTCTGCAGCTACCTCACCTAACAACCTGAGCCAGTCTTAACACCTGCAGAGGGCCAGGCTCAGATTCTCTTTCTGTTTTTCCTAGTGTATACCAAGGACTTGACATCCCAAACATTGTCTAAGAAACTGGTAGTTAATTTAATCCTCAAAGTAATTGAGGTAGTTACCACCATTGTTTCTATATTGGTGAGGAAGCTTAGATTCAGAGAAGCTAATGCGCGGGAGACTACATCTCTAATACGGGGAAGAGTTGGGGGAGGGGAATATCCCACAGCTCACATTGCAGGGCTCTGCACGAGCTAGGCAGGAGCGCCACCACCAAGCTGTACTCTAGCCCTTGTCTCCCGCCCTGAGTCCACCGGAGCCAACTCAGCTCACAGGTGACGCCATTGGGGTCAGGGTTCCTGGATGGAGCTAGCTTAAGTGAGGAGTTGGAAGGGTCTAACCTCCAGCCCAGCACTTGTAAGACAGCGCAACGCTGGCATGAGACTGAGCTCTGCACATGTGGCCCCAGAAGCAAACATGGGACATGTGTGAAACCTACCTGGCCTTGTCCTGAGGGAGGCAAGTAAATGGTCTAGAAGTCAGGTTTTTTGTTTTTTTGGTTTTTTTTTGTTTGTTTTTTTTTTTGAGACAAGGTTTCTCTGTCAAAAACAAACCAAAAAAAACCCTCAAAATTATGCCTCAGCCTCCAGGTACTAGGCTTACAGACGTACACCACTATGCTGGGCTTTTAAGAATTTAAAAAAAAAAATGGAGCACTGGCTGTTCTTTCAGAGGTCCTTAGTTCAATTTCCAGCAACCACATAGTGGCTCACAACCATTCTTAATGAGATATGGTGCCCTCTTCTGACATGGATAAATGCAGGCAGAGCACTGTATACATAATACATAAATACATCTTTTATTTATTTATTTTTTGTCTTTGGTTTTTTTTTATTTCCTTCTTTTTTTTTTAAATTTATTTATTTATTAAAGATTTCTGTCTCTTCCCAGCCACCGCCTCCCATTTCCCTCCCCCTCCCCCCTGTCTTTGTTTTTTGAGACAAGGTTTCTCTGTAGCTTTGGGGCCTGTCCTGGAACTAGCTCTTGTAGACCAGGCTGGCCTCGAACTCACAGAGATCCACCTGCCTCTGCCTCCTGAGTGCTGGGATTAAAGGCGTACACCACCACCTCCCGACCATAAATACTTCTTAAAAGAATTTAAAAAATTATTTTATGTGTATGCCTTTGTCTGCACCACGTGTGTGCCTGGTGCCTGGAAAGAACATAAGTGGGTGTTGGATCCCCTGGAACTGGAGTTACAGGTAGACCTGGAAATCGAACGTGGGTCCCCCGGCAAGAGCAGCCCGAGAAGAAACCAATGAGCCATCTCTCCAAGCCCCTAGGCATTTTTTTTTTAAGATTTTTTTTTTTTTCAAGACAGGGTTTCTCTGTGTAGCCCTGGCTGTCCTGGAACTCACTCAGTAGACCAGGCTGGCCTTGAACTCACAAAGATCTGCCTGCCTCTAGGTTTAAAGGCATGTGCCATCACTGCCCGGCAACCCCAGACATATTTTTAAAATTTATGAGTGTGTGTGCGTGCTGAATGCCATGACGTGTGTGTAGACTTCAACTTGCAAGAATCCTTTCTCCACCATGTGGGTCCCAGGAAACAGACTCGGGTCATTAGGCTTGGTGGCAAGTGTCTTTGTGCCAGCTCCCTAAATATTTTTTGTTTACAAGCCTGGTGAAATGGCTCAGCAGGTAAAGGCCATGTGATTTCAAACTCTGAGAACCACATAGAAGGAAAAAGCCATCACAGGTTCCTGCCCTCTCTCTAGAATAAGTAATTGATAAAACAATAATAGGGGCTGGAGAGATGGCTCAGAGGGTAAGAGCACTGGCTGCTCTTCCAGAGGTCCCAAGTTCAATTCTCAGCAACCACATGGTGGCTCACAACCATCTGTAATGAGACCTGGTGCCTTCCTTGCCAGCAGTATATTGTATGCTTAATAAATAAATCGTTAAAAAAAATAATAAAAAGCAACATTCCTTCCAGTCCACTTGATGGGACCAATTTGAAATTCTTACTATTATTCTGTGTATGTGAGTGTCTTGCCTGCATGTATGTCTGTGCACCACATATATGCCTGGTGACTTGGGAGGGCAGAAGAGGGTGTCAGATCCCCTGGAACTGGATTACAGGTGGTATGCACTGCCCTATGGCTTCTGGGAATCGAATGGGGTCAGTGCTGCTAGGTGTTGAGTCATCTCTCCAGCTCCCACCCCCCAAAGCCCTGGAGTTTTTCAGGCAAGACAGAAACAGCTTCATTGTTTAAAGTTACCGGTGCAGTAAATGGGGGAACTGGGATTTGAACTGGGGGAGTGTGGCCATTGCCAGAAGTCCAGAGAGGTGTAAGAACCACACAACCACCGCCCCAAGCCGTCGGTTTCCTTCTAGCCCAGGAAAAGTAACACCTGACTCTTAGTTGACTGGGGGTGGAGCTGGGGTGGAGCCAGGGAGACCCAGGTGTCTCCTCGGAGAACGAGGGAATGCACTGAGTGGGAGCAGGATGCGGCAGAGCTGGGGACCAGGGCTGCTTATTGTGGGAGCTGTGGTCCTGCTAGAGGGTAAGTCATTCAAGTAGACTGCAATTGCTATGTAAGGGATCCTGAGGGGCTATAGTATCCCCGTGGATGTCCTTGTCTAGGTGTGTGGAGTTGTCATGTGGAGGGAGGGATGTGGGGAGAGAAGGGAGGTAACACACAGCCTGCTGTCAAATGGATGGTTTTCCTGGGCCAAGTCTGAGCATTGTGTAAGAACCTGTGCCAATACATTAACTCCTACAGTAGTTCTGTCTTGATGAGGAGACTGAAGGGCAGAAAAGCTAAGTCAGGTGCTTGAGAGCAGTCTGCGTCTGGATTGGGCAGGGAAGGATCTGAGATCACTCTGTCTGGAAGCAGTCTCTCACCTGTGTGTGTATTTCGCCCCTTCCGATCCTCTCCTTGCAGAATGACCTCAGGCCTGCTCTGGCCCCGCTGGCTTGGAGCTGTCAGCGCTAATTCTGCTTCAGAAGTGCAGTAGGCCTCTTTGTGTGAGCCTGAGATGGGTTTCAGGCAGGGCAGGGACCCTCCGGAAAGGTCAGCCTCCTCCGGAAAGGTAGTTTGATTCATTAGCACAGGGGTGGAGTGAGTCTCACTTGGGGCCTCCCCCACTTTGGACATGACACAGGCCTCTAATCTAGCGTCTCAGGCTTCCACAGCTGAAGGGACAATTAGGCTAATGTCCTTCACATGCACTGGCCACCTCCCTGACTCAGTGGTGGGGGCAGGAGTTAGGGGTTCAGAAGCCTAGAGGGTTGGCCTGCTCCCAAGATAAATCTCAGGCCTTGCTTCTTGAGCCCAGGAGCGCTGAGCACAGCTGAGAGAGTTAATGGCTGAGTACTCTGAATGGGCTCCAATAAAAGCTGCTTTTCAGTCGCATATAAATATTTGCATTCTGGGAGGGGCTGGTGAGGTAGCCAGTCGTAGATAAGAACCCAACTCATCCCCTCCACCAGTTAAGGCACCTCCACATCTTGTGTCTTCTTCTTCCTAGGTCTTCAAGCAGCTCAGCGTGGTAAGTGGTGGGGACATGAGACCTGGGCTGTACTGGGGGACAATGGGGAAGGAGGAATGGAGTTGTGTGGTCCCGAGGTCAGGACAGTGTCTGCAGTGATCATGACTCACCCTTCTCTACAGCCTGCGGGCAGCGCGGCCCTGGCCCTCCGGAGCCCCAGGAAGGCAACACGTTACCTCATGAATGGCCCTGGCAGGCCAGCGTCAGGCGACAGGGGGTACACATCTGCAGCGGCTCACTGGTGGCCGATACCTGGGTCCTCACAGCCGCTCACTGCTTTGAAAAGTGAGTTGTGCTTTGGTTCAGTCTCTCGATTTGAGGGTGGACTCGTCCCTGTACCTTGCAAGACTCTTTTGCCTCTAGAATAACCAAGTGTCATTTATGACCAGCTCAGCCTTCGCAATCTTTCCTGCTCTACAGAGGAGGAAATGGGAACTGGAGGGACGTGGCTGAAGTCGGGTTCTGTGTCTGCTCACCTTCCCCACCTGTGCTCTTCTCCCCACTGTCATGCTCCACTGGCACTCAGCTGCCCGGGCCTTGCCCTTCTCCTTTCAGGGTGGCCACAACAGAACTGAGCTCCTGGTCCGTGGTCCTGGGTTCTCTGAAGCAGGAAGGGCTGAGCCCAGGGGCTGAAGAGGTACCAGTTGCTGCTCTGCAGTTGCCCAAGGCCTATAACCACTATAGCCAGGGATCAGACCTGGCCCTGCTCCAGCTCAGCCACCCCACAGCCCATACAACCCTCTGCTTGCCCCGGTCCACCCATCACTTCCCCTTTGGAGCTTCTTGCTGGGCCACAGGCTGGGACCAAAACACCAGCAATGGTAAGTCCTGTCTTGACGAAGACCTAGAAGGCACTCTGCCTGGGCCCCACTGCTTCCCAGAGCTAGACTCAGCTTCATCTCCTTGCCAGTTTCCAGGACCCTACGGAACCTGCGCCTTCGTCTCATCAGTCGTCCCACCTGCAACTGTCTCTATAATCGGTTACACCAGCGGCTGCTGGCCAGCCCAGCAAGACCTGGGATGCTGTGTGGGGGTGCCCAGCCTGGGGTACAGGGACCCTGCCAGGTCTGATGAGTACAGGGGGAAAGGGAAGGCCTAATCTTGGGCCAAGGGCCCACAGAAAAGGGTGACGGGGAACAGCCAGAAGGCATCTGGTTAGTAGTGAATTGGGGCTCAGGTGACTCCTTTGCCTGGCTCCAGGGAGATTCTGGGGGACCTGTGATGTGCCGTGAGCCTGATGGACACTGGGTCCAGGTTGGGATCATAAGCTTCACATCAAAATGTGCCGAAGAGGACACTCCTGTGCTGCTGACTGACATGGCCACTCACAGCTCGTGGCTGCAGGCCCGCGTTCACGGGGCAGCTTTCCTGGTACAGGACCCAGGAACTGTGGAGACCAGCGATGAGAATAGCTGTGTAGGTAGGTAGGTCTGCGCATGGTATTAAAAGTGGAGTGTACAGGGACACTCAGGCCATATGAAGGCTTCCTGGCCAATGGGTAGAAGCCACGAGGAAACAAACTTAGGCTCAGACACTGAGTCTAGATCTAGACACTGCCAACAGAGAACTAGGTTTGTAAGGCTCTTTTAGTTCCTGGGATACAAACAGCCCCACTGGGGCCAGGAAGTTTTACAGGTGGGTGTCTCTGAAATCTCTGGCTGGTTTCAGGGGGAAAGTTGCAAGTTTCCAGGCAGAAATCCAGGAGAGACAGAGCAGTGACTGCAATGCAAATTGCATGCAAAGTCATTTCAGGGAAGGAAGCTAGGTTCCGATGTTCAGAATAGCAAGCTAGGGATTTTAGGGCTGGTCCAGGCTTGGGGAAATGTAGGTGGGTGGGGGAGTGGGGCAGAGACCTTCCAGGTTAAGGTTGGCACTGATTACTGTCAGACATCAGGATTAAAGGCATTAAAGGCATGCACGTTGGCTCTGAATCCCAAGTGGGCTACCTGGTTTTGGTTACAGAGCTAGGTTAATCTGTATAGTTTACCTTTGGTAATGAAGCTGAGAGTCAACTGGGAAGATCTGCTGACATACAGAAGCACTCAGCACAGGTCCTAGCGTTAAGTGACCACTTAACTGGGTGACGTAATTCACCTATTTCAGCGTGTGGCTCCTTGAGGAGTGAAGGCCCTCAGGCAGGAGCACTCTCTCAGTGGCCCTGGGATGCCAGACTGAAGCACCATGGGAAGCTGGCTTGTGGTGGAGCCCTGGTATCGGAGGTGGTGGTGCTGACTGCTGCTCACTGCTTTATTGGGTGAGCCTTATGTCACTCTCCTCTGTGCCCCTTGCCCCAGCTGTGTCTCTCGGTGCTGAGAACTCTGCCTCTCAACAGGCGCCAAACCCTAGAGGAATGGAGTGTAGGACTGGGGGCTGGACCAGAGGAATGGAGCCTGAAACAACTCATTCTGCATGGGGCCTACACCCACCCAGAGGGCGGCTATGATGTGGCCCTCCTGCTGCTGGCTCAGCCTGTGACATTAGGCCCTGGCCTGAGGCCCCTTTGCTTGCCCTATGCTGACCACCACCTGCCTGACGGTGCACATGGTTGGGTTCTGGGGCTGACTCCAGGAGCAGGTACATAGTAACGGGGATGCTGGCAGTGGTCCACTGGACTTGCAGGCAACTGAGGCATCTGCTCTCGTCCTTTGTTTTCTTAGCCAACAGCCACCCACAGACAGTGCCTGTGAGAGTCCTGGGGAGAATGGCCTGTAGCCAACACTACGCAGCCCCTGGGAGCACGGGCACTCCCATCCTGCCAGGGATGGTCTGCACCACTGTCGTGGGTGAGCTGCCTCAGTGTGAGGTGAGTTCCAGTTCCCAGCCCTTACCCAGCAGACCCCTGGCATTTTCTCACCTTTCTACCATGCTTGGTTACTAGCCCTGCTTCTCACCTGAAACTAAGTCCTCCTGCCAGCTGGCCCCCAAACAGCCCAGGCTACAGCTCCAAGCCCCTCCCACCCGCTACAGAAAGTCACCAAGTGTAACCTGCTCCCTAACAGGGCCTATCTGGGGCACCACTCGTCCACGAGGTCAGGGGCACGTGGTTCCTGGCTGGACTGCACAGCTTTGGAGACACCTGCCAAGGCCCTGCAAGGCCTGCGGTCTTTGCGGCACTCTCTGTCTATGAGGACTGGGTCAGCAGTCTAGACTGGCAGGTCTACTTCGCTGAGGAGCCAGAGCCCGAGGCTGAGCCTGGAAGCTGCCTGGTCAACTCAAGTACGTGTCCCTCTTCGTTCTTCCTCCTTAGCCTGGGCTCCCCTCTAAGGAGGACACTCAGGCTCTAGCTGCCTGGGGTGTGGAGTAAGCAACAGACAGATCCACGTGGATGTAGGCAGTAGGGGTCTCAGCTTCTTGGTCTTCAGGTCTCCCATACGCCACAGGGGCCAAGATGGATCCTGCTTCTTCAACACAAGTTAATAAAGCTCTAGGGATGGGGCCAAGTTAATTTCCTTCCTCTTCTCGACAGGCCGACCCGCCGGTTGTTGATGGTGACTCTCTAGTTCACTCACAAGACGCCAGAAAAGCCAGGCAACTCCCACCAACACCCAGTTCTCCACTCCAGCCCATCCCCTCCCTATTGGTGGTTCCCTGACCTGAGGCAAGCCAACAACTGTCTGACTGGGAATGAGCCAGCCCAGGGATGCTGTGTGTGACCATGACCCACCCCCAAGCTCTGCAATCCAACAGGGGTGTCTCCAGGACTCCTTAAATAACCCGTCATACACAACCACACAACCACACCAGCAACTGTTGTGGAAAAAAAAAAGTTTTTTTTGGGGGGGTGGGGAGCAATTTTCCTTTTTTAAAACTTAAATAAATTGTTACAAAATAGATTTTAGAAAATAAGTTACAAACTATAGTAAAAGGCTCCCCTTCCACAGGCAACTTTCCCACCTGTGCACGCTCTGAATATGCCTCTCCTGGGTTAGAATCTGGCTAGCACAGCATTCTGGCAGAGCCTGGCCGTGGAAGAACATGGTGACAAAGGCTTGGGAAGGAGGTCCTTCATGGACACAGACATGAAGACTACCTTATCCCCTTCTTGAGAGAGAAACCAGATCAGGCTCCTCTTCAGGGAAGAGGAGATAGGGAGACCCAAGCAATCCTGAGCGAATGTGGAGATGAAGCCTCTCTGTGCCTGCATCCCCAGCTTCAGTGAACTCTTCTTTGGAGACTTGAAGTTCAGAGAGAGAAGTTGAGGTCTGCAGGCCACGGGGGTGAGGGGTTCAGGAGTGAGGCTGTAGATGAGTCCCCATCCCCTCTGCTTGATGCTGGTACCATGGAAGCTCCTAGGAAGAGAAGAAGAGGTCACTGAGGGAGGCCTAAGCCACCTCTCAGACCTACGGGTCAATTCCTGACATGGCCCTGAGAGACAGACAAGTGCAAGAGGCCAGGATAAATAGCTCAGGGTCAAAGAGTTCGCCTATTGTGTATAAGGCTTTTTAGGTACCATGCCTAGCATCTCCCCCTCAACCAGGAACTTATAACTTATAAAAATAATTGTAATTATTTTTACAGCCTTGGTTACTAGGCTCCTCGCTCATTTGAGAAGGCTTTGGTCCTGAGAGCCATTTCTTCAGTTCTCAGGACCCATCACTATTTTGTCCTTCTCAGCCAAGATCTGGTCAAGGGCATACATTTCAGGGACACCTACCCTTGGCGGCTATAGATGGAATGGATTTTCCTCTGCTGAGGGGAATATGAGCATAAGGCTTGCTGAGTACACAGACTGCCCCGGCCTCCACAGCTTTGCCCTTCAGTGGGCTGGGTGGAGGCCAGTCCCGTCCCCCCCCCCCCCCGAGAGATTCACTGTGATAGAGGGAAGAGCTAGACTAATGACTGCCACTGCTCAGATGGGCCTGTCTTCAAAGAAACAATTATCCATGAGTCAGCCCTTAGTTAAAGGGCTGTGTTGGGGAAGGTGCCGGTGGAGAGGGCGGTCTGGTTGGTTCTTACAAGATCTGTATCAGAAGGAGAGGGAAAAGTTAACTAAAAGGAAGATCAAAAGGGCTCAGTACACCACTCACAGAGGCCTCAATTCCAAGGGAGCTGGAAGGCAGAGACAAGCCATAGGGAAAGAGGGACAGAGAGTGAGTAGTGACCAGTAAGCCAGCAAACTGGCCCAGTCAGCAGAAAAGCAGCCAGTTAGGGTTACCAACTGAACAGGCAGACCCACCTTGGCTTTAATCCTGCAGGCTATTCCTATCTACCTGCAAGACAACCCAGGAATCAGCAACCCACCCCCACCCCCCTTTTTCATTCTCTGGCTTCTTGCCCATTCTTGGAAAGATCAGAACCTAAACACAACCCATTTCACCCTTCCCTCTGGGAATCATTGCTGGCTAAATCAGGGTTCCCAGATGTGGCAGTTCCCAGACACCCTGGCCTACTGAAAGAAAACAGTCACTCTTTGGCTATACAACACTCCACGCTCCTGCCCCACCCCACCTACCCCGGTGTCCATCTTTCTGACCCACGATTCCTACTTCAGTTTGTCAGTCCATGTCCAGGCTTCCGCTGCTTCTCACAATCCATTCGATTCTGTCCTTACTTCCCTTACCTACTCAGGACCATGGCTTCTCTCCACCGTGTGCCCACCTTCTTCTGGGTCCCCTCAACCCTCTATCCAACCCATTCACCCCACACACCTGAGCTAGACATTGTCCACTCCTCCTGGTGCTGCTGCTGGTGCTGCAGGAAGCTATTTCGGTGGCGAAAATGGCGGGGACAGTGAGAACAGGTGAATGGTCCCTCCTGAGGGGCATGGACCCGCCCATGGCCCCGCAGCCGGGCGGCTGTTCGAAAAGCCTTGCCACAGATGTTGCAGCTGTAGCGCTTGGGGTCTGTGTGGGTCCTGCTGTGGTTCTTGAGAGACAGCAGGTTGGGCAGGAGTTTGGGACACAGGGAGCAGGGGTAGAGTCCAGTGGTATGGGCCTTCTGGTGATTCAGCAGGCTACCAGCATGGCGGTAGGAGCGCCCACACTGGGCACAGCAAAAGGGACGCTCCTTGTCTTCAGCTGCTGTGAGGTTTGTTCCTTGTCCTCCATTAGCTGGCTCCCCATTCTCTTCTGGGTCTCTGCGAAGTTCGGATGGGGCCTCCTGAGCGTTCCCTGGACCAGGGGGATCCACCGCTGCCATCCAAGCTTGTGGCTCTCTGGTCTCCTCTGTCTGACCTGGTACCTGGCTACCGTCAACAGCATGAGTCTGCATGTGTGTGGCCAGCTCACTGTGGGACGCAAACACTTTGCTGCAGTTACGACAAGCAAAGGTCTGGGCGGCAATGTGGTTGTGGATCTTAGTGGTCACAGGACTCAGTATCTCTGGGGAACAGAGCAAACAACTGTGACAGACTTTCTTGTCAATGCTGGGGTTCAAGAGGCCATCAGGTGGATAGGTCTTTCCACACTGGCTGCAAGAGGGGTGGCTCTCTGACTGGAGCCGAGAGCTGCTATCTCCACCGTCCTGGCTATCCATATAACTTACGGTAGAATCACTGGACTGGCTCTCAGAGAGGTGACAAGAATTCTTGGAGCCAGTATCTTCCAACTTGCCTTCTGGGTTGGCTAACTGATCCTGAGGAACCCAGGCACCATTGTGAGTCATTTGTCCCCTTTCTCCTCGATACCCATCTACCTTCCCCACTTCCCAAGATAAAGATTCTGTGACTTCTGACTGTGCTGGCCTGCTGGGACTCTGACTATGCTCCCCAGGCCTCTTGGTTCCAAGCTCCAGCTGTGGTACTGACTGAGTACCTTCTGGTCTGCCCTTTACTCCCCAGTCATCAGCAAGGTTCTCCTTACTGCCTTCAGCATCATGTGGGTCTCCCTGGCCACTGGTCAGCTCTAGTTTGGTCTCCTCGTGCTCCTGCAGATGCCGCTCCAGAGATCGCTGGCCAGGAAAGCCACAGCCACAAAGGGTACAATGTACAGTTGCTCCCCTCCGGGGTGTCCGCCGCCTCCGGCTATCAGAATGCAGCCTCTGATGGTCTTTCAGGGCTGTGCGGTTGGAATAGGTCTTAAAGCAGAAGGAGCAGCTGTACTGGCCTGTCTCCTGGGTGCACTGATGGTTCAGGAGGCTGCCAGCATGGCGGTAGTTCCGGCCACACTGCCCACACCTGAAAGACCGATCCTCACGAGTCAGCTTCTGGGTGCCCCTTCCCCTCCGTCGCTCAGTATGAACCCGCTGGTGGTTGGCCAGCTGCTTCCGCAGGCGAAAGGCTTTCCCGCAGTCACTGCAGCGGAAACGCCGAGGGTCTGCATGGATGCGCCGGTGGTTCTTAAGGGACATGAGGTTTGAAAAGCCCTTGGAGCAGGCCTGACAGCCAAAGTGGCCAGTCTGATGGCTCTGCCGGTGATTGATGAGGCTGCCAGCATGTTTGTAGGTTCGGCCACACACTTCACAGCTAAAGGGCCGCTCAGAGCTAACTTCAGTTTGACAGCCTTTCTCTGCCGTCTCCAGCCTCTGCTCTAGCTCCTCCTCCTTTACCGTGGTCTCTTCCCACACTTCTTCTTTCACTCCCGCCAGCTCCTCCAAGGGCTCCACTTTAAGTTCTTCCTGGAGGTGCCCTACGACTGCCTGTTCCTGCCCTGCCTCTGCCACATTCTGGGGTTCGTTGCTGCCCCCTGCCTCTGCGATAGGCCCCACTTGGGGCTCTGAACCTTTGCAGCGAGGGTGGTTGCGCAGATGATTCCGGTAGGCAGCCAGGTTGGGGTAGCAGCGGGAACAGACAGGGCAGATGAAGTTGCCTGTCTGGTGGATCTTACGGTGGTTCACCAGGCTGCCTCCATGGCGATAGGTCTTGCCACACTGGTTACATTGGAAAGGGCGAGGATGGGACTTGGGGAAGCTTTCACCAGCCTGCATGCAAAGGCTGTCTGCAACTGTGCCTCCTGCTCCCTCCTCAGACTGTGTGTCCCCACCCTCTTCTGAAACAGAGGTCACTGTGCCCTCAAAGACATCATCTGTAGCCATTTCTACCGCATCACCCGATCCTTCCAAGTGGCTAGGAATGTTCTCGGTCATATTGCTGGAACTCTGACTTTGATGGTGACGCTCCAGGCTCCCCAGGTCATCATAGGTCTGACCACAGCAGCCACAAATGTGCCCATAACCTGCTCCATCTAGAGCCTCCACTTCCCGCTGAAGCTGATTCAGCAGCTCTGCTTCTGAGAGCTGCAGAGGACTGTCGTTAGAGGCTGCTTCCGCTGTGCCTTCCTCATCCTCTTCTGAGCCCTCAGGTATGCCAGAAGCACCATGAACCTGGCGCAGGTGGCGCCTGTAGTCAGTTCTCCCAGGAAAGATCATTCCGCACAGACAGCAGAGGAAGGGCTGTGCTGAGGCGACCTCCCCTGGCCTGTGGTTCTGGAAGTGACTACGCAGGGCAGGCAGAGAATCAAACTCCTTTGGACAGAGAGAGCATTGGTAGATGCCCGGAGGGTGGCAGGACTTATGGCTCAGCAGGTCGTCAGCTTGGGGGAAAGAATCCCCACAATCAGAACACGTGTGAGTGACTTCTGCCTTCCAGACAGTGTCGCTGTCAGCAGGGGGAGAGGAGTCGGACTGGCAAATGCCTGGTTTCTGGTCACTATCCACCCCAGGGAGGCTGTCACAAAAGCCAACTTCACTGCTTTCCTCATCACCTGGGATGTTCATGTGGCCAAGGAAACAGGCTTCTTTCTTTTCTAGTCCTTCCTCGGTGCCAGTGTCCTCTTTACCACCCGGGAAAAGGGATTCATCCCTTCCAAGCCCATATTCGCTGTCTTGGGATCCTGCCTGCAAGCAGTCCCCACCCCTCTTCAGGTGGCCCTCAGTCCCACAAGGACTTTCTCCCAAAGGGTCTTGGGAAGATTCCAGGCCCTCATCATTTTCCAACTTCTGGGTCCAGGTGCCCGCAGGTGGGCGTTTGGACTCCTCACCAGTACTATCCTGTTTCTGACGCCTCCTATTCCACTGCCGACTATGACGTCGTAAATGGCTCTTCATGGCAGCCATAGTATGGAAATGCTTGGCACAGGTCCCACAGCTGAAGTCTCCTGTCTGATGGGTCTGCCTGTGGTTGATAAGGCTCCCCGAGTGGCGATAGCTCTTTCCACAGTCTCGACAAGCAAATGTTCTAGGTGGTGACCTGGTGTTGTCTGTCCTGCTCTTTTCTCCTTCCCCTGCCCTGTGTGTCCTTCCATGATGCTCCAGACTCTTGAGATCTTCAAAGAACATCCCACAAATGTTACATATCTGTGGCATTGTCTTATCTGCCGTTGGGGGAATACTGGTGGCTTCTTCTTGTCTGTATACCCGCCCCTGATCTGTGGGGAATGCTGCTTCTGTTCCCACTGGGTCAGGTTGTTCCCTCTTGACAGGGCTAGGGGAACCCTCAGTCCCTGGGTCTGTACTTCGGCGCGTGGCCTTGCAATGGACGCGCACGTGGTTGCGCAGAGCCATAAGGTTGGGATATTTCCGAGGACAGAGTGAGCACTGGTACTCTCCTGTCCGATGGCTGTGGCGGTGGTTCACCAGGCTCCCCCTGTGGCGATAAGCCCGACCACACTCATTGCACTTATAGGGACGATGGTCCAGGTTGGTTGTGAGGACCTCTTCCTCTTTTTGGGTAGTCTCAGCTGACATAAGGGCAGTTGAGGACACTGATGACTGGCCATCATCTCCAGCTCCTTGCCGGGGTCTATGATGAGCACGAACATGGTTTTTCAGAGCAGCTGCATTGAATAGCTGCTTGGAACAAACTGAACAGGGGTAAATACCTGTTTGGTGACTCTTTCGATGGTTGATGAGACTACCCGCATGGCGGTAAGTCCGGCCACAGTCCCTACAACAGAAAGGTCGATACTCCTCTTGGCTACCATCCTCTAGCTCCCCAGAGCCGTTCAGCATCTGTGTTTTAGGTAGCTGATTCCAGCTCCTCTCATCTGCGTGTCCATTCGTAGTAGGCATCTCTCTCTCTTCCCACGGCTGATCCAGCTTCTCCCCGTCGTGGGACTGCTGATGTTCCAGCAGGTCCCGAGGGAGCCGGAAGGCACGGGGGCAGTGGGGACAGTGGTACGGCCGATACTGAGCGTGGAGTCGTGAGTGGTTCTTCAGAGCCATAAGGTTAGAAAACTCCTTAAAACAGATGGCACAAGGGTAGACGCCCAGAGTGTGGCTCTGGCGGTGATTGGTGAGGCTCCCAGCATGCTTGTAGGTCTTTCCACACTGATTGCACTTGTATCTTCGCTCCTCCTCAGCAGGAAGGGGCTCAGTGGACTCCTGGCTCCCTGTGAAGTTCACTACCGATTCAGCCAAATATTGTTCCAGATTGCTGAGGAGGCTGCTGGCTGGAGTGGGGAGCGGTGGCGCTCCGTCAGAAGTGGTGGTGGGTACCCAGTCCTCTGCACTTCCTCGAGGATCTGGTTGCATCTCTAAGCCTTCTCTTTGTTTGGTGGGTGGATCTTCCCAGGTCCCCGGAGCTGTCCTGGGATCCACTCCAGCGTCACATTCATGTGCCTCTCTTACATGCTTCGTCTGATTTCCCCAGGCTTCCCTAGAACCCAGCCTCTGACCCCAGGCTTCAGCAGCCATTGTCTCACTCTGACGGTGTGAAGTCGTTTCCTTGGCATGTAGGGGCCTGTGCCTTTGGAGGCCCTCGGGAGCATGAGTCCTCATGTGGCTCTGGAGGCTCAAGGGGTTAGTAAAGTCCTTGCCACAGGTGGTACAGGGGAAAAGCCCAGACTCGTGGTTCCGCTGGGAGAGGACACTGTCAGCTTCCTCACTGTGCTGGTTGGTGGATGGATGGAGCAGTTCTCGATGCCGTGATAGTTCCGGGAGGCTGGGAAAGTGGCGCTGACAGTCAGAGCAACTGATTGAGAGGGGCATGTCCTCCATGGGGCAACGTGGTAGAAAACCTGGAGGCTCAGGAGGAACAGACAGGTGGCAGCCACATCTTTCCCTACAGAAGAGGTCAAGGCCTAGAAAGGGGGGGCAGGCAGAATGAAGGATTGAGTCAGTATTGCTTCTTGGCTATATGAGCACCACATTCACTAGAAGTCACAGAGAGGCTTCCCAACCAACCATGCCATGGCCCTGCTTTCTATGGGTGTAGAGGGACCGCCGTTTACAGCTTTACTATGTACAAATGTCTAGGAAAGTTCCCCGAGGCTTAAGGCATCTCCTTATCCCAGAGATAAGGAAATGAGTCTCGAGACCTAACTGATTTTGTATTTTAGACAGTATATAATATACATATGTATTTCTTCCTACTCCTAAGGCTCTGCTCTCTATAATTCTGGAAAAACTAATAACTATCTATGAATTTTAACAGCAAACCAGAACTGTTTCTGGCTTTGATGCTGGTTTGTTTTGAGATAAGGTCCTAGCTCATTCTGGAGCTTAAGTTCCTTGGGAGCTCCCTATGCAGCCCAAGATAGCTTCACACTCATGGATTTTCCTATGAGCCCCCTGAGAGCTCAAGTATAGGTGAGAAGCACAGCTGGCCAGTCCTTGGAACAAGACGAGCACAACCCTTTCTTCACCCTCAGCAAACTGAATGGTCTCAAGTATAGGTGAGAAGCACAGCTGGCCAGACCTTGGAACAAGACGAGCACAACCCTTTCTTCACCCTCAGCAAACTGAATGGTCTCAAGTATAGGTGAGAAGCACAGCTGGCCAGACCTTGCAATAAGACGAGTGCAACCCTTTCTTCACCCTTCAGCAAACTGAATGGTCTCAAAGCACCGAGGAAGCAGCTGCTTTCTTCAGCGGCCACCTAGGGCTTCACACAAGTTAGAGGTCCTGCCTGTTTCTTCAACATCACACTGTTAGGCGTTTGTTTTACCTGCTTCCTTTAAACATATGTAATCCCGTCCTGTCTCAGGTTGGAATTGCATTTTATCCTCTGCTTTTTTTGCTATCCTCTGCCTGCCTTACCTTGCTGGCATCATCATTTTTCATTTTCTCTTCTACTTCCTTTCTACATTCTTAAGATGACAGCAACTCAGGCTGCGCGGTACCATGTGCCAGGCATTGCTGTTAAGTGTACTTTTTTTTTTCTTGTTTTGGTTTTTCAACACAGTTTCTCTGTAGCTTTGGGGCCTATCCTGGAACTAGCTCTTGTAGACCAGGCTGGCCTCGAACTCACAGAGATCCCCTGCTTCTGCTTCCCGAGTGCTGGGATTAAAGGTGTGCGCCACCACCACCCGGCTTAAGTGTATTCTTATTTGGGGAGAAAGGTATCTGAGACATGGTCTCACTATAAATATTTATAGTCCTAACTTCCCTAGTACCGGGGGATTCAAGTCGTGGGCTACCACGCCCGCCTTGTAAGTGTATTTATGCCACTAAATCCAATGCCAGTTCTCACATAAACTCACTGCAAGAGGCAATCTTCATTCCAAAGCCCTCGCTTTCCCAGTAGCTGTCACTCATTTCCGCCACATCATCTTCTCTTTCTCCGAGGCGGACTCCAGTCTCCTGGGACCCTAACACAACTATTTCTAATCTCACCAGCTGAGTCTGTTCCCGGAATTCTCTTTTCTCAAAACTTCTTCATATAAGAGTCCCTTTCCCTAACCAACCACCATCACGACTCTCTAGAGTCACTGGTCTCTTCTGCCAATTTCCTCTCTAGATCCCTACCTCGCACCGGGAGTGCCTTCTGGTTCCCGCCGCCGGCGCGTCCGTTGGAGGTCGTGAACGGGAGCGCGCCTGCGCAGTGGGACCCTTACCCTAACTGCAGCCGCGAGCCCTAAGTGGTGGCTGGTGCGAGGGTTCTCGAGCTCACACACACGCACTCTCAGCCAGGGTTCCCGGGGGTGGAGGACGAGGGAAAGAAGTGGGGAAAAGAAGGAGCTAGGGGTAACAGAGCACGGCTGGTACGAGTCAAGAGTCTACCCCAGTTCCGCGGACACTTCCTATTGTTACTAGGAATCAGGAAGTGTCCCAGGTGCTAAAGCTTCCCCCTGAAACTTCCGCCTAGGAACACTTCCTGTCTCGCCTCCGAGCCGTATTCCTAAACGGACAAGCTTCCGGCGCTAGGTTCCGGGTGGGCCCAACTCTATGTTTGGTTTTTGTTCGTTTTGAGACTGGGTCTAACTATGCAGCCCAGGCTGGCGTCGAACTCGCCGCAATCCTCCTGTCTCAACTCCGGGAACGCTGGAATTACAGGCGGCGGGAGCTACCACGCTCGACTGAGGGCGCAACTCTGGCTCCGCCCACGCAGGTCAGCGCGGCGTTCTGATGGAGTTAAGCCACTCTTCCGTCCAAAGCTGCTAAAATCGTTCCAGCGCTTTCTCAGTAAGCACAGCAGTAAAAAAATATCCTGCAGCCCTGGCTACGGTACTTTGGTGACACTTTTCACGAGGTTCCATAAAAGACTCTTCCCAAGACAGGCGTGGGGGGATCCTAAGTTCACTACTCGCTGTTGGAGAAAATGTGGAATCTAAACTGACTCAGGCACTACGAAACCTCAGTGCCCGCTCTGTCTCTCCCCACCTCCTAGCTCTTGGAGACACTTCCGGCGACCTGGCTGGTGTACACCGTCAATCGGTCTGGCGTCCCATCCCCTTAGCACCCAGAGACCCTTCGCGAGATACTTCTCTGCTACTGGAGGCTCGGGGTGGCTCCCGTAAGTTTTTCCTTCCTCCTGAGCAAGGAAGGCGCCTTTCCACTTCCGCTGTCTGGCCGCCGGCCCCGCCCCCAGCCTCCCTCCCGCTGGGTCCTAGCGCCGGCCCCTCCTCGAGTGTCCCGGGCTCTGCCGGTGCTGGGCACCGCCGCCGATGCTGCGGAGCCTGTGGAAGTCGCACCAGGTAGGACGCGTCTGCGGGGAGTCGCAAGGGCCTCAGGCAGCGGCCACCAGCGCGGTTTGAGCTGCCTTCAGTCTCCCCACCGATGCCGAGCGGACAGAGTTGACCAGGCGCGAGCATCGCGGGCGGGGCGAGCGGTGAGCGGTCTCGGACGGGCTGCGGGCCCAGCAGGTCCTAGAACCCGCCCGGTGCCCGCCGGTCAGCTCTGGGGATGCCTAGGCTCGGCGGACGCGACTGCCGGGCTTGCACCGCGCGGGCCCGGGGGTCCTAGAGTCCGCCATGTTACGGGCTTTTGTCTCTGTGGCGAGGGCCTCCTAGCCAAGTCCTCCGCGTCTGCGCGCCCCCCTCCCCGTCCGAGGTCTCGTCCGCCCCTCCCGCGGTCCTAAAGAACGCCATTTTGCAGGCCTTTGTCCTGCTCTCGCTCCTCTGTCCATTCATTTGTTCATTCCTTCCTTCTTCATTCATTCTGTCTTGCTACGCTCGCCGAGGCCACGTTATCCTAGGGTTTAGTCCCAAATGAGTCAGCATCCAGCCCCGCTCCGCGGGGACTGCCTGTCTGGCGTGGACACCCGCACAAACACGGTTGCAGAGAGCGAGGAGCGCTGGGTTTCTGCAGCTCTTGTCCCTCCTCTGAGAGTCTGGTAGGCCCTACCTCCCTGCAAACTCCCGTTTGCTTCAGGGGCCCCATTCGATTGAAAAAATTGAGGTCCAGAAAGCTACGCATCCCTCATCTTTACTTACTGCTCGTTAAATGTTCTCGAGGGCACGTAGTACTGGGGAATGGAGCATTGGAAGCATGCAAGAATCTTCCCTTGGGAAAAAAGAAAGAGGGCTCCAGGGCAAAGGGAATTGCTTATGGAGGTGGTAAAGTTTGTCAATTGTGGATGGAACGTAGGTTGCTGACCAGAGGGAACACTGCCCCCAGAAACTGGCTGGGAAAATGGGATCATTTTTGAGCTAACTCAAAAGGCCTAGGATACAATTAAACATTCAATTCACCCCAGCACAGTTCCTTCAACTCATCAAAAGGCCTAAGGTCTGGTAGCCTGTTTGCTGTCTTGGAGAGATGGGGGAATGGGCTGCACTCGCATTGGGGAAACTGAGTCTTCATTAGCTTGAGAGACAGCAAAATGTCATTCCCCTCACAGGCGATTAGTGACACTGTGTTCCATCACAACAGGAAACAAATTGGGGTACTGGGGTGATCCTGGGGCTGGATGACCTTGTAAAGATGGGGAATTTCGGTTAATGAAGAGTTGGTGGCTGAATCTCACAAACTCCTACGATGGAAGAGACGGAGGCTGTAGACCTGGCTTTGAATTCCTCCTGCAGTTTGCTCTCAGTCACCAAACAGCTTTGGACATAGAACAACGTTCCCTGGACCCTAGTGCACAACCGGATAATAAAATGTGTTAGTGCTAATAAAGCAATAGCTAAGGGAACAGATGGCAGAAATTTGGGTATATGATTGCCTGGTTTCCAGTACTAGCTCAATCTATGACCAGTTACTGGCATTTCTGTGTTGTCTCTTAAGAACTTGTTTAATTAAATCTTTATCTTGTGTGTGCTTATGTGTGCTGGCAGCACATATGTGGAGGTCAGAGGACAACTTACTGGAGTCTGTTCTCTCTTCCCATCTTGTGGGTCCTGAGGATCCAACTCAGGGTGCCAGGCTTGGTGAAAACGCCTTTTTACCTACTGGGCCATCTTGCTAGCTCTGCCCTTATGACCTTATTTAACTTTAATGACTTCTGAAAAGAACTTGTTTCCAAACACAGAATTTAAGAACACAAATGTTCAGCCCATAACAGACTTGTAGGAATTATGAGAAGAGCTTGAGTAGTTGGATCGGTGTGTATAAAATGCTGATGACACCAGTCCACAGCAGTAAGCCTGCGAGAGGTAGTTGATCCAGATGGCATCACAGAGAAAATTGTCCTTTGAAAGGAGAAGTTAAATGATAATGATAGCCAGGATAAAGATATCGTTTTGAAAAAGAGTCTATAAGGTGTGGTGGCACACACCTTTAAATCCCAGCACTCGGGAGACAGGCAGGCATATCTCTGTGAGTTCCAGGCCAGCCAAGGCTATGTCATGAAACCTTGTCTCAGTGGCGCAGTGGAAGAGCGCTTGCTATCAGGCATGAATGCCACCCTAAATTCAATTCCAAGCACTGCCAAAAACAAAGGAAGGTAGGTGATCAAAGTACATGATCCACGCCTGTAATCCCAACCCTGAGGAACAATCAGGGCCAGCCTGGGCTACATAGTAAGAGACTGAAACACACATGTACACAAAGGTAGTCAAGAAAACCTTTATTTTTTATGTATATGAGTGTTAGCTTACATGTACGTGTGTGCACCAAGTATATGCCTGGTGCCTATAACTGGAGTTATAGGTGATTGTGAGCTACCACGTGGGTGATGGGAATCAAACCTGGGTCCTCTGGAAGAAGAGTAATTCCTCATAACGCTGTGCCTTTTCTCCAGTGTCCAGGAAAGCCTTCTTGGGGGGGGGGGGCGGAGGATGGCCGAGCTTGAGACCCGAGTTCAGCCTCCTAGACCCATATCGTAAAAGGAGAGGCTTGACTCCTGCAAGATGTCTGTCCTCTGACCACTACACATACACCCTTGAGTGTACATACATAGAGTAAAAAAAGAAGAAAGAAAGCCTTAATAAAGGAAGAGTTTGGAAGACACGCAGGAGACGATGAGAAATCATGGCTCTGACCAGGAGAACTGCTCGTGTAAGCAGCCTGGGGTGGGAAGAAATTGAAGCTGAAAATGAAGCAGGAGGTGTGGATGACGCCTGGCAAGGGAAGCAGGGAACTGAACAGAGGCAAGCAGGAGTGAGGTGGATTGGGATTTGCTGATCATAGAAAGATACTGGTCTTTGTCCTGGGAAGCGTCAGGATTTTGTTAAAGGATTGCAGGTGAATAGAGTGATCGCAAGAGGCTAGCGCTTGAGGGCAGGGAGGGTTCAGCTTTGACTCTGGACATCTTAGCACTGTGCACTTTTTGCGTTGTGAGGATTTAAAACAGTTGTAGTAAAAATGTTTCCCTCCTGGAAGTACTTGGAGACCTAGGAGTGTGTGTGTGTGTGTGTGTGTCTGTCTGTCTGTCTGCCTGTCTATTTTTCTTTATCTTTTTTTTTTTCAATACTGAGGATAGAACCCAGTGCCTCGGGTGTGTCAGGCAAGTATCCTGGCTCACATGTCTGGTTCTTAATGGTCCACAGAGTTGGATTAAAGTACAGATTGCAGGGCTCCAGAGATGGTTTGGTGGGTTATTAAAACTCTAGCCATACAGCCTGACAGTCTGAGTTCAAGCCCCCCCAAACCCATGCAAAAAGCTGGACTTGGTGGCACGGCTGTGGGGAGATGGAATGTGGACAGAATGGTCAGGAGGCTGGCCAGCTGTCTGGTCTGGAGGACAGTGGAGCAACAGAAACAGTACACAGGACCACAGTCAACAAAGGGAAAGACGGCAACGGACTCCCAGCTGTCCTCTGCACACACACACACAGCTGAGTGTGGTGGTGCACACCTTTACTCCCAGCACTCAGGAGGCTAGGGCAGGTGGATCTCTGAGTTCAAGGACAGCCAGGACTATAAAGAAACCCTGTCTTGAAGAATTAAAAAAAAAAAAAGACTCTAAATCTGTGTGTATTTGTATGTACAGACAGAGGACAGGAAAATATCAGGCCCACTGGAGCTGCCTAACATTGGTGTTGGGAACCGAATTCATAGCCTCTATAGCAGTGACTCTCAGCCTTCCTAATGCTGTGACCCTTTAGTACAATTCCTCATGCTGTGGTGAGCCCGGCCATAAAATTAATTTCATTGCTACCTCATAACTATAATTGTTATGAATTGTAATGTGAATATCTGTGTTTTCCAGTGGTCTTAGGCGACCCCTATAAAAGGGTTGTTCTGCCCCTAAAGAGGCGAGACCCATGAGTTGAGAACCACTGCTCTAGAAGACCAGGGAGTGTCCTTAACCATTTAGCAATCTCTCCTGCCTGTGATTTTTTTTTTTAATTTCAGAGAATAAAAATACAGATTATAGGGGCTAGAGAGATGGCTCAGAGATTAAGAGCACAGGGTGTTCTTCCAGAGGTCCTAAATTCAATTCCCAGCAACCACATGGTGGCTCTCAACCATCTGTATCAAGATCTGGTGCCCCCTTCTGTCCTGCAGGCAGAAGACTATACATAATAAACAAACAACTGAAAATACAGATTGCAGCACTCTACATCACCTTTCTTAGTTGATGGTTCTTTTCGTTTACAGTTTTTGAGATAGGGTATCTCTGTAGCTCTGGCTGCCCTAGAACTCACTAGACTAGATTCTCAAACTCAGATGTACCTGCCTTTTTCAACTGAGTGCTGGGATTAAAGGCATGCACCACCACCACCTGGCTTTTGTTTGATAATTTTAAAAGGATTTTGTGTGTGTGCGTGCCCATGCACATACCTATGTGTGCCTTTGGACATGGCTGCAGGTACCCAAGGAGGCCAAAAGAGAGTATCAGATTCCTTGGAGCTGGTGGTTGTGAGCCTCTCCATGCGAAACTAGGAACTGGACTCAGCAAGGTCCCGTAAGAACGGCAAGATCCCTAACAACAGAGCCATCTTTCCAGCCCCCTTTTTTTTTTTGTTATTTAAGTCCGGATCTTAGCTCAGGCTGGCCTTGAACTAACAATCTTCCTGCGTCGTCCTCACAAGTATTGGAATTGTAGGTGTGCTTCCTAGATGAGGATTTTGCTGCAGGGCTTTGTCAGACCTCACTCGGGAAAGCTACTCTTGGAAGTAGTGGGTGAGATGAGGCATGATCTGCTCTCCATTCTTCATGGAGCTAGGTGCCTGCTGGGACCCATTAAACGCTTCCTTACCATTTCTCCTAAGTGTCTTGGGACGGATCCTCCACTCCCTGTAAGTGCCTTGGGACAGATCTACCCCTCCCGCAGAAAGACTGAAGCACAGAGCTGGCAGGGCCAGGATAGGAGCTCATGAGTCTGAGTGAGACGTTGTTGGCTCCGGGCTCTAATCTCAGGGAAGTGTTAGCAAGATGGAAGGAGGGATGGGTGCCACACAGCCCAGGCTCCTGGACCCTGGGGCAGGCCCAGACTTCTGAGCTAGGGCTCAGACACTCTAATTGCCCAGAGCCAGGTCTCAGCTGCGTTAAGTTTCTAACCGTATGACTCAACTCATCCTCATCTATAAAATGGGGTCAGTGGTTCCTGTTTCAGGCAGTGTGAGAATTATGTAAGGTGCCACACCCAGCTGACTGACTCTGAGACGACCCAGACTTAGGGAAGACTGATCAGATCAGGTTCGGATCGGTCCTCACGGACCCCATGAGCTAGTCCTATTTTTACCTCCATTTTTCAGGTGAGAAAACTGAGGTTCTGAGGTCAGTTGTACAAAAGTCACATCAGCCAGGAAGTGGTGGCAGCTAGAGTTGAAGCTGGACCTTCAGAGTCTACTTAGTTCCACTGAAGCGCGGTTACTATGGACCTGCTTTCTTGTGGTGTTGATGTAACAATGAGCTGCTATATAAAAAAAGGTTAGGATGCTGTGATTTTGGCAGGTACTTAATAGATGTGAGCTGTCTTTTTTTTTTTTTTTTTTTAAGCAGTTCTTGGGATCAAGACTAGCAAAGTCTCCTGCACCCTCAGCCTGGTTCTTGTTTTGTTTTTCCCTTTAGGAGAAATTTAGGAGGCCAAGATGTGACTCAATAGTGGCACACTTGTCTTGCCTGCACCAGGCTCTGGGTTTGAGTCTCAAAACTTCCCTCCCTCCCCCAAAAAAATGCTTCCTGATATAGGGCTGGCTGATCCTAAGGAGCATCTCACTCAGGGCTCCCTCAGCCAACCAGCTAAACTGCTTCTGTAGGCCTTTTCTGGAATAGGCCCTGAACCCATCCATCTCCCCCACCAGAGACTTAATTCAGCTCCATCCTCCTGGATGAGGACATGGGTCTATACACAAGGCTGGACATAGAGGCCTGGCCTGCCACCCTCTGGGCACACCTGGTTCTCCTTGCCCACTCTGCCCTGCCCAGCACCACATCTAAGCTCCCCTTAAGAGGATCTGCCCTAATCCTCTTCCATTCATCCCTCTGGGAGGATGAGTGGGTGTTAAGACCAGTGCAGCTGTTAATCCTATTTTTTCCCAACTATGATCCTGGGAGCAGCTGTGTGGATGTTGTCTGGGCTCTTGGCCAGAAAGTAGGGACTCAGCAAGAGCTAGTATCCCAGGAGGTCTCGCTAGCTCAGACACATCAGCTGTGACTGCCAACAGTAGGTCAGGCTGCCTTGAGAGTGAGCTCCCATTTCTAGAGTTTTGGAGCAGGGACTAAAAGGGATTCCAGATCAGAGGATGGACCAAAATTCCTGACTGGGGTGGAGTCCCTGAAAGCCGTGCATGGTCAAAATTCTTTGAATGCTTGCTTCTCCAGGAGCTGACCAACCAGGGGGAGGGTAAGCACACCACATCCGAGACCTCCAAACATCGACTCCTCTCTCGGGACCCAAGTCCATCTTCCTGAGCGCTTGGAGACCTTAAAGTCTTGGTTGGAACTAAGAAAGGACGATTGTGAGAGTAATGGGACCTAGGCATTGTGGGAATACCAGGGGGTTAGACAATGGAGAGGGTAAGGAGTAGAATATAGCTGGCTCTTTGTGGTTCTGGCCTCTTATTTACTGGGGATCACCAGGGAGACTTGAACACAATATCAAACCTGGGGACCATTAGCATAAAGGATGTAGAAGTCCTGTGGTTTGGGCTGAGGAGCCCCAGGTTTGGAAGTCCTGGTATGATCCAGTGACCTGTGAGACTGGAGAGATGACTCAGTTCTTGCCTGCCTTTCAAGTTTGATTCCCAGCACCCACAAGGTAGCTCGCAAACAAATGTAACTCCAGTTCCAGGGGATGGAACAGCCTTCCTGAGCACCAGTCCTCAGGACATGGTGTCAGTAAACCTTCATACATGTGAAATAAAAATAATTTTTTCCCTTAAAGATATGGTTGCCTTGGATATTGAGAGAACTTTAGTAAAGTGGGAAGCCTTAAAGAGTACAGCAGGGTGGCTTTGGTCTAATTTTGCTTCTCTTGCAGAGAAGGCCCACTCACCAAGGTCATGGAAGAGGAGGCTACAGAGGCCAAGTCCCCAGGCCCCTGCTACAAGCGCTCTGGACGCCGTTTTAAGTGCCTGTTCTGTACAAAGACATTTCCAAATGCTCCCAGGGCAGCGCGCCATGCTGCTACACATACACCCGCAGACTGCACAGAGGAGGTGAATGAGGTCCAGCCAAAGGTGGATGCAGAGCCCAAGGCCGAGGAAGCCAGTGGAGACAAGGTGTCTGGTTCAGTAGCCAAACCCCGGCCCTATGCCTGCCCACTGTGCCCCAAGGCCTACAAGACAGCTCCTGAGCTACGAAGCCATGGGCGCAGCCACACTGGTGAGAAGCCCTTCCCGTGCCCAGAGTGTGGCCGCCGCTTCATGCAGCCCGTGTGCCTGCGTGTGCACCTGGCTTCCCATGCGGGTGAGCTGCCCTTCCGATGTGCGCACTGCCCCAAGGCTTATGGTACACTCTCTAAACTCAAGATCCACCAACGTGGGCACACAGGTGAGCGGCCCTATGCCTGTACCGACTGCGGCAAGAGCTTCGCTGACCCTTCAGTGTTCCGCAAGCATCGGCGCACCCATGCAGGCCTGCGACCCTACAGCTGCGAGCGCTGCGGCAAGGCCTACGCTGAGCTCAAGGACTTACGTAACCATGAACGGTGGGTGAGACCCCTGGATACGGCTGGAAAGCTTAAGTGGGAACTAGTATCTTAATAGATTATGCCAATGGGGAAAGGGGCAGGTGGATACTTAACCTAAAAATAGGAGACCTGGTTGGACAGGTCAGGCTGGGTGGCAGAGCAGAGTTCCTGGAGATGGAACCCTGAGAGCGGGTGGGGTCTTATTGGCCTCGGTTCCTGTACAGCCACAAAGGGGTATCTGTCACTCACGGGGGAGGGACATATGTGGGTAGGTCCTAGGAAAATGGCTCTTTAGATGTTTTGTTTGGTTTTGGTTTTGAAAACAGAGTTCTTTAGTTGGCTGGGCTGGCCTAGAACTAACTTTGTTTTGGGGGGTTTTGTTTTGTTTTGTTTTTTGTTTTTTGAGACAGGGTTTCTCTGTAGCTTTGGAGCCTGTCTAGCTTTTGTAGCCCAGGCTGGCCTCGAACTCACAGAGTTCTGGGATTAAAGGCATGCACCACCACCACCTGGCTCTGGAACCAGCTTTTTATAGACCAGGCTGGTCTAGAACTCACGGAGATCTGCCTGCCTCCCAAGTGCTGAGATTAAAGGCGTGTGCCACCAGTGCTCGGCTAAATGTCTTACTCTAGGGTCCTGTGGCTCTTAGAGAATTGCAGCTCAAACAGGCTGTGGCTGTCCCACGTGAATCTGTTGCCGTCTAACCAGGGCCTCCGTTGCTCCACAGGTCCCACACAGGTGAGCGCCCCTTCCTCTGCTCTGAGTGCGGGAAAAGTTTCTCCCGATCCTCTTCCCTCACATGCCACCAGCGTATCCATGCGGCCCAGAAACCCTATCGCTGTCCGGCTTGTGGTAAAGGCTTCACGCAGCTCAGCTCCTACCAAAGCCATGAGCGCACGCATTCGGGCGAGAAGCCCTTCCTATGCCCTCGCTGTGGCCGCATGTTCTCTGATCCCTCAAGCTTCCGCCGCCACCAGCGGGCGCATGAGGGCGTGAAGCCTTACCGCTGCGAGAAGTGCGGCAAGGACTTCCGGCAGCCAGCCGACCTGGCCATGCATCGGCGAGTGCACACCGGCGACCGCCCCTTCAAGTGCCTGCAGTGCGACAAGACTTTCGTGGCTTCCTGGGACCTCAAGCGGCATGCATTGGTGCACTCAGGACAGCGGCCATTCCGCTGTGAGGAGTGTGGGCGAGCCTTTGCTGAGCGAGCTAGCCTTACCAAGCACAGCCGCATGCACTCCGGCGAGCGTCCTTTCCACTGCAATGCCTGCGGGAAATCCTTTGTGGTGTTATCCAGCCTCAGGAAGCATGAGCGTACCCACAGAAGCAATGAGGCTACAGGAGCTGCCCCCCAGCAGGAACTGGTACTGGGACTGGCGCTGCCTGTAGGTGTCGTGGGTGAGGGCACAGCCGCCCCCGTGGCAGGCGCAGGGCTAGGGGACCCTCCAGCTGGGCTGCTAGGGCTACCTGCAGAGTCTGGGGGTGTAGTAGCCACACAGTGGCAAGTGGTGGGCATGACTGTGGAGCACGTGGAGTGCCAGGATGCTGGCGTTGGGGAAGCTCCTGGTACCCTAGGAGATGCAGGGGAGGTGGGGGGTGAGGAGCCTGATGAGAAGCCTCCACAGTTTGTGTGTCGCGAGTGTAAGGAAACTTTCTCCACACTGACATTGCTACGCAGGCACGAGCGCACACACCCAGAGCTCCGGCCCTTTCCCTGCACCCAGTGTGGTAAGAGCTTCTCAGACAGGGCTGGGCTTCGCAAACATAGCCGCACCCACAGTTCTGTACGCCCCTACTCTTGTCCCCAGTGTCCTAAAGCTTTCTTGAGTGCCAGTGACCTGCGCAAACATGAACGCACTCACCCTGCGCCCATTGAAACCCCCATACCCCTGGAGCCTCTTGTGGCTTTGCTAGGAATGCCAGAAGAAGGGTCAGCTTGAAGCTGGTAGCTCTCTCTGCCACACTCCCAGATGCCCGTTACCAGTTTCCACATCCCTGCCACTGAGCAATTGGCTCAGCTCTCAGTCCACTAAGAGCAGGGGACAGTGGAGGCCGGCAGCGCTTGTGAGAGACACTCATTAAAGCATTGGCTTTGACAGCAAGCCGTCTTCTGTATTCTGGTTGAGTTAAACTTCAGTGGAGGTTCCAGATTAATACAAATTATAAGGGTCTTGGTGGTGGTTTCTTTTGTGACAGGCTCTCACGACTTAGCCTGATCCAGAACTCACTGTATAGCCCAGGCTCCCCTTGAACTCAACCAATCCCCCTGCCTCAGCCTCCCAAGTACGAGGATTCCAGGTGTTTACCACCACAAATGGTTCCTAGAAGGGTCTTGCAATTCATTGTTTGCCAAAGTATATTTTGGGTTTCTTGTGAAAGAGCTTTCAGTAGTCAATCAGGACAGGAGTGTGTCTGTGCCTCTTGAGAATTCTTGCTGATTAAAAGGTGTATTGAAGTCCTGCAATGAAAAACCTGTGTAGCTTTGCTTAGCCTACACTCAGGATAATGAAACCTTTACTGAGTGCTTCTATCTGCTTAAGATAGTAAGCTGGGCTTAAGCAATCGGCTGGAGAAATGGCTCCACTGCTAAAGGCTAAGGCTCACAGTAAAAAAGTACCCAGCTTGTCTCTCTAGCTACCTTTAAAAAAAATTCTTCCCTGGGTGTGAGACAGCTAAAAAAAGATGATCTTTTCTGTTTATCACAGTAACACATTAGGAGACATGCTTGGAGGAAAAAAAGATCCCTCTTCACATCAAAACCCATGAACTACAAAGGAATAAACCTCATTTTAAAAGTGCTGGCTGGGCATGGTGGTGCGCATCTTTAATCCCAGCACTCAGGAGGCAGAGTCAGGCGGGTCTCTGAGACCAGCCTGGTCTGCATAGTGTGTTTCAGGATAGCCAGGACTACATAATAAAAAATGCTAATAGGTAAGGGGATCGCTGTGAGTTCAAGGCAATCTTGGTCTCCATCAGGAGTTGTAGGCCACATGGTGACACAGGGTTTTATCTTGGTGGAGGAGCACTTGCCTTCTGTGTGTGAGGTCCTGGGTTATATCCACAGCATTAGGAGGAAGAAGTTGACTTTCCCAGTTTAATCTTTAAATTTACTGCCTGTGCAGCTATGGCTAGCATTAAATTCACAGTGCAGCCCAAGCTGACCTGAAACTGGTACTCCCGCCTTAGCTCCCCAAGCATATGCCATCACACCTGACTGTCTTTTGTTTGTAGGGGAAACAAAACCTAAGGGTTTCCCTAACCTGTGTGATGCTAGCTGGTTGTCAGCGCAGTGAAACCAAACTTGGGAGCAGATTAGTTTGTCATTTCCCCAGATTAGTGAGATTTGTATCAAACCTGGGGCTCTTTGCTGTCCAGACTCTGACCGGCCTGTGAAGTTCACAGCAATCTTCCCAGGGCTGTGACCATCAGTGTTTTCAATATGGTCATATGTCACTACCACAGCTAGAAAATGAAGATGACTTGGGCATGTGGCTTGCTACCAGCCTGATGTTTGCCTGTTTGGCATTATTGATGGTTTTGGAAGCATCCAGCAGCACATTAGCTGTGCCATTATGGTGTACAGAAAGAGCCCAAAGGACTTTTCAGTCCCCAGTCTGAAAATCCAAAGCTCATGTGGAACATGATTAGCACTCGCCCTACCACTGAGCTACACCTCCAGCCCATGATAACTTAAAAAAACAAACAAACAAAAAACAGAGGTGATTGATGCTAAAAACCAAAGAATTAGAGTAGAAAATATGTGATTGGTACAAAAATAAAAGTCAGCCAGTAGAGTGAGAAGATCCGGAAGCAGCGTGAGTGTGTCTGTGAACTCACTGCAGTGCTGATGTCCAGCCCTCTGTCGTCTTTATTTTGAGACAAAGTTGACTAGACTTCCTCCTGCTGAGCAGCTGGTACAGACTTGTACCACCAAGCCCAACACATTTATCATTCATTCCTTTTTGTTTTGTTTTTTTTCAGACAGTTTTACTGTGTAGCCCAGGGTGGCCCTTGAGTGTTTGCACTCAGCATCTAAAGTGCTGGGTTTACTGACAGCTTCTGTGAATTTTTTAATGATAGATGTGATGTTCATATCACTGGGGAAAAGATAGAGTAGTCCATAGCTTCCCTGAAAAATGTCTGGATGAGACCACGAATTTTATCTCCATCATCATGTGAGCATACTTGCATGCATGAACACACACACAGGGAAGATACCCAGGACATGGGTTATTCAGGTGTAGCCCATATGCCTGTAATCCCAGCACAGGGAAGGTGGAAGCAGGAGATCAGGATTTGAATGCCAGCCGTGGCTACATGGCTGATTTGGAGGGGTCTCAAGTAAAATGAGACTGTGTTTCAAATCAAAACAATAATAATTTAAAGCAAAAAGCCTGTTACACAGAGAAACCCTATCCCAAAAAACAAAACCCAAAAAAAGAAAAAAAAACAGGGTGAGGCTAAAATTTGCAGACAGAATTTTGGAGCATGGAGGGACAGAAGCCATTAGCATGCTCTCCTTAGGGTCAGGTTACATACGTCCTCAGATTCTCATGGAATGCATCTTTTAAAAAACTTTATAGTTAGACAGGCAGTGGTGGCATACACCTTTAATCCCAGCACTTGGGAAACAGGCTGGCAAGATGTCTGAGTTCGAGGCCAGCCTGGTCTACAGAGTGAGTTCCAGGACAACCAGGGCTACACAGAGGAACCCTGTCTCTAACCCCCCCCAAAAGTGTGTAGGCACGTGTACCACAGTGCACATATGGAGTCAGAGGACAGCTTGGGAGTCAGTTTTCCACCATTTGGGACCTAGGGATGGCAGCAAGCTCCTTTACATGCTGAGCCACCTTGCCCACCTAGCAGGCTTCTGAAGAAGATTCTAGGTCATACATTATAGCACCCCCTTTCCATTGTAGCTGTAGCCCTAAGTGAGCCAAAACTCCCTTCCTAAGCTCTTTCTTTTCTTTTCCTCCTCTTTGAGACAGAATCTTGCTATACAGCCCCCTCCTCTCTCATCTCCCTGTGTTAGCCCAGACTAGCCTTGAGCTTGAAGTGATTCTCTTGCCTCAGCGTTCTAAAGGCTGAGACTACAGCCGTGTCCCATCAGACTGGGATTCTGTGCTCTTGTGAGAGCTGAGAACCACCACGTTGGCAGTATTGGGAAGCTCACCTGCAAGCTCACATGCTAGTCATGGGGGACATTACAGCGAGCAGCCGTAGTTCAGGAATGGTAAACCAGGTAGTGAGCCCCAGGAGACAGAGAGTCTTAATGGCAGAGAAAGCAGAAAGTAGTGTTTAGAGGGAAATCTTTTGGGTTCATGAGATGGCCCAACCAGTAAAATGCATTTGCCACCAAGTTTGACAACCCAAGTTCTATAGCCAAGAACCAAATGTGAAAGGGGAGAACTGGTTCTTAGATGTCCTCTGACCTCCCACAAGGAACATGGTACATGCACACACACACACACACACACACACACAGTCTAAAATGGGGGGGGGGGGTCTTTAGAGTTGAGAGTGTAGTTCCGTGGTAGAGCATTTACTTAGCTCTTAATAAGGACTTTGGTATAATAAAAATAAGTTCTGTGGGGGGAGGGGAGGGCATGGGTCTTTAACACTGGTACTCTGGAGACAGAAGGAAGTGGACGCTGAGATGGTTCATCTAGTAAAGCCACCAAGGCTGCTGACCTGAGTTTGATCACTGGAACCTACATTGTCGAAGCAGAGAATTCACTACCGAAAGTCCCCTCTTGACCTGCCGTGCACTCTTGACACAAATGCACACCAACACACAGAGACACACAATTAAAACAGTCATAAAGTTCATAATTTACTTATAAACTTTCTGTTTTTAATTTTTAATCATATGTTTCTATGTGGGTTATATGCATGTCAGTGCAGGTGTTCATAGAGGGTGTCGGGTCCCCTGGAGCTGGAATTACAAGCAATTGTGAGCCACCCGATGTGGCAGCAAGTTCTCAACAGCGGAGCCATTTCCTCCAGCTGCTGTAAATGTATTTTTACAAGCTATGTATGTTTTTATAGCTAGAAAGCCTTAGACTTAAGATACTTGGCTTGTTTTGAGTTAATTTCTGTAAATGGTTTGAAGCAGGTGGTTCAACTTCATTTTTTGCCTATGGATTTTCAGCTTCAGAAGCATCTGTTAAAAAGACCATTCTTTTGTCTATTGAATTGTCTTGGCTTTCTTAAAAAAATAAATAAACTACCTGTAAATATGAGGGGTTTTGTTTGGTTTGTAGCTGGGGATCAAGCCCAAGGCCTGGCTCATGCCAGGCAAATGCTCCATCTAGGCCACACCTTCATGTCTGCCATTATGCCAAACCACACTATTTTAATTATTGTAGGATTTTTAAAAGATTTATTTATTTCTAAGTTGGTTTTTTTTTTTTTTTTTTGATTTTTCAAGACAGGGTTTCTCCATAGCTTTTGGTTCCTGTCCTGGAACTAGCTCTTGTAGACCAGGCTGGCCTCGAACTCACAGAGATCCGCCTGCCTCTGCCTCCCGAGTGCTGGGATTAAAGGTGTGCGCCACCACTGCCCGGCTTATTTCTAAGTATTTTGACTGCGTGTATGTCTGTGCACTCAGAAGGTGTTGGGTCCCCCAGAACTGTTGCTACGGATGGTTGCAAATGACCGTGTGGATGCTGGGAACTGAACCCTAGATCTCTGCAATAAGTGCTCCTAGTCACTGAGTCATTCTCAGCCCCCTGGTTAGTACAATTTTTTTTTTTAACTGATAGCCAGTTTTATTCAGGATCCAGATAGCATAGACTATATTCTTAGACCAATTTACATTATTACCTGGAGATAGAGACAGCAGGGGCATTCTGAACTGTCAAGTCATCAACGTTTGGAGAACAGCTGCTGAGCATGATGGGAAAAACTCAACAAACTGCATCCTCTGAAAGTTTGCTGAAGGCATAAAAATGTCAGTTCACATGAAGTTTCAGACTACAAATTTCTTAAAATTACAGGTAAATTCAGGCAAGCTGCAGGAAATAATATTGGTTAGCAATCTACGGTTTACAGCTACCATAAACTGTTGTTAGCAGAGGAAAAATGGAATCTTAAAATATACAGTCAACATTATTAGTGGAATTAAAGGAGTAGTTGGAAAATGGAGAATCATAGCAAAAGAGGTGGGCGTACTTTTTTGATGTTCAATAGAGGTACTATCAGAATTAGCAAATTCTCACACAAAATCACTAGTTTACTAATTAGAGGATACACATCCTCCCTAAACATATGCAAAGATAGAGCCTCCCACTGTGAGGCCCCAAAGCAAATTTCAATAAATTCAGCAGATAATGGACAACGCTATCCAGTCACAGCATAAACGCAATATTATGTTCAAGGCTAAACAGCAATATTTGTTTGGCTTTAAGTACCAAGTATAACACTGATGTTGATTGTTAGTGAATACTGACCTGGAAAGACTGGGGAAAGAAAGTTTCTACTGTTATTATATTACAATATATGTGAAATTTGTTAAATATTTAGGTTTTCTTGTTTGTACTCCATTTGACTTTCTGCAATTGCTCAGTAATTTATACATTTAATCTTGGTCAGTCCCTTGATTATGGTTGACTATAATATCTCATTTTAATTGATTTATCTATATTCATTTTTCCTTTTCATACTGAATTTTATTTATTCACATCTAGTCTCTTTCTGTGGTTATTCTACTGTAGCAGAAGCCAAGTGATTATTATAAACATTGTGATTTTTACAAACAGGTTTGATTTTTGAAAAGCATCACAAACTTAGGGACTCCCTATATTCTTACTTATATATTGCGTTTATGGTTAGTACAATTTTATAGGAACTTCAAATCAGGGCCTATGAGACTTCCAACTTGGTTACTTTTTTTTTCTCCCAATTTATTTTACTTCAAGAGTTTGCTTTTGTTTTTTTTTTTTTTTTTTCTGGTCTTACAGTTCCATTTCTTATTTTACTATGTAGTTTTTTTTGAGGACTGTGTTTGAGAGTTGCATGGTGGTTCCCAAATTCACTATGTAGCCCTTGCTGGCTTCGAACCCTCCATTCCCCTCCTGCCTCAGCCTCCAAGTGCTGGAAATTATTGACGTATGTCATCACACTTATGTCCATTTTGACTTTTGGATCAGATTGTCAGATTTTGCTGTCAAGAAATTCAAAAAGCTAGTTTAGGCTTTGGTAATTGTAGTGAATCAGTTGATCATTTGTGGCATATTACCATCTTAACAATATTACGTTTTCTGATCTGTGAGCGTGGGAAGTTTTAAATTTAATTAGATATTTATTTTAATTTTTAAAGTTTTTTTTTCTTTTTTTTTGTGGGGGGGGGATGTTTTTCAAGACAGGTTTCTTTGTGTAGCCCTGGCTGTCCTGGAACTAACTGCAGAACAGGCTGGCTTTGAACTCAGAGGTCCACCTGCCTCTGCCTCCCAAGTGTAGGGATTAAAGGCTTGCACCACTGCCACCTGACCTCAAAGATTTATTTTTATTGTATGCATGGGTGTTTTGCTGGGGTGTGTTTTGTTTATGCACAATGTACATGCAATGCCTGAGGAGGTGTTGGATTCTCTGGAACTGGAGTTACAGACAGGTGTGAGTTGTTATGTTACCTGGGAATCTAGTCCAGGACCTCTGGAGGAGCAGCCAGTGCTCTTAACCTCCAGGCCACCTCTCTAGTCCCACCCTAGATCTTTCTTTCAACAGTATTTTTCATTTTATCTATAAATCTTACACTTCTGTTGTAAAATTTATAACAAATTATTCTTTTTGTTGCTCTTACAAATGAATTGTTTTTTCCTTCACGACATTTAGTTTGTTTTGGAACAGGGTCTCATACAGTCTCCACTGGCCTCAAACTCACTATGTAGCCATGGCTAGCCTGGGACCTTCTTATCCTCTGCTTCTCAGGTGCTAGACTTAGAGACTGGCTTAAGAGGGTTGTTTCATCTGTTTCGCTTTTGGATCAGTACAGTCTTCTGATATAAGGAGGACATTCCCTTTCACTCCTATTGTGCTGAGCCTTTTTATTAAAAAGAGGTTTCAGGGGGTCTAGCGTGGCTTGGAATTCAGTAGCCTAGAATGACCTTGAACTTCTGAGCCTCCTGAGTGCTAGAATTGCTGGCTGGTGACCACCATGCTTGGTTTATTTGGTGCTTGGGATCAAATCAGGCCTTTGTTCATGCTAAAACACGCGCTCTGCATCCGCACCTCAAGTTCATGCTAAAACACGCGCTCTGCATCCGCACCTCAAGTTCATGCTAAAACACGCGCCCTATATCCGCACCTCAAGTTCGTGCTAAAACACGCGCTCTACATCCGCACCTCAAGTTCGTGCTAAAACACGCGCCCTATATCCGCATCTCAAGTTCATGCTAAAACACGCGCTCTACATCCGCACCTCAAGTTCGTGCTAAAACACGCGCTCTACATCCGCACCTCAAGTTCGTGCTAAAACACGCGCCCTATATCCGCATCTCAAGTCTCTAATGTGCTGTTTCCTATATGAAAACGAGTTACATTTTATCAAATGTATTTTCTGTGTCTGTTGTGATTATTCTATGGCTTTTGTTCTTTATTCTACTAATAATATGTATTTGACTTCTGGATAGTAAACCAAACTCGTATTCCTGGGATAAATACTACTTGGCCATGTCATATAATACTTTTTCACATGATGTTGGGTTTGATTTGCTTTGCTAATATTTTATTGGAGATTTCTGTGTCTGTATTCCCTAAGGTTTTTTTGGCTTTGTTTTTTTAAGATTTATTGATTTTAGTTCAAGGCCAGTCTGATCTACAAAATGAGTCCCAGGACAGTCAGAGCTATATAGAGAAACCCTAAAAAAAATAAATAAAATAAATAAAAATAAAAACGCTGGGTAAGGCAAAAGCAGGCAGGTGGATCTCTGCGAGTTTGAGGCCAGCTTGGTCTATGGAATGAGTTCCAGGACAGTCAGGACTATTACACAGAAAAACCCTGTCACAAAAAAAGATTTCTTCATTTTAATGCTTGAGTGATTTGCCTGTGTATGTGTGTGTGCACCAGATGTGTGCTTGCTGCTGCAGAGGTCAGAAGAGGGCATTGGATACCCAGGATCTGGAGTTACAGAGGTTGTGAGCCCATCATGTGGGTGCTGGGAACTGAGCCCAGGTCCTCTACAAGAGCAGCCAGTGTTGTTAACTGCTGAGCCATTTCTCTAGCCCAGGAATTTTTTCCCTCGAGACAGGATCTTGTGTGACCCAGGTAGGCCTCAGACTAGCTGTGCAGCCAAGGATGACTTTCAGCTTCTGATCCCCTCCTTGCTTTTCCTGAGCCCTGTGAGTACAGCTGTGCCTCACCTTACTATGTCCACTTTGTGTGGTGCTGGGATCCAGCCCAGTGCCGTGTGCTCGCTACACAAGTACCCTACCAGCCGAGCTACGCCTCCACGTCCCTTCATAAGAATATGCGTGTGTCA